GAAACTGAGGGGAACGGAGTTGACAGTGCCAAGAAAACAAGTTAGCAGCAGAGGGAAAGTTCCAGATTTCCAAGGCGATAGACATGAATAAGACCTAATTATACATAGGACCCAAAATGAGAAAAGAGAGGGAAATACATTTTGCATATATTTACATAGTTTATGCGATGAAAGGAAATGAACTTTCAGAAGGTAAATATAACTTGTGAAATTGTAAAAGCAACAAAGATAATTACATCATCACAATTGATGAAAAGAGATTACATGCAAAATGAATTAATTTCCACATTCTCATCTACATCTCTCAATTTGCCCTAAAATGGCAGGCATGTGATTCTGTTGTGAATTGAGAATATCCAAGTATATAATGTAAATTATGCAAGAAAACTACAGAAGGATGAGAAGCAATGAAACAGCTAATAATACGCTAGGGTTTGAGATTAAAAAGTAAAAAGTAACAGAGATTATAATTGTGATACATTATGGATAGATTCAATTTTATGGAAAACTATCTCGGCAACCTCTGTAACACACACAAAAAAACCAAATATTCCATTTTTACCAAAAGGATGACACGTGTGCCAAAAGAACAAAAACAGAAATTCCAAAACAGGATCCAAAAGACAATCATTTCAGAAACTAAAAAAGATATTAACGTATATATCATTTCTATTAAAAGGTAAACATAGATTCTATATATTCCAGATAAACATAAAATATTCTTCTAATGCCTTAGAAGAATAAAAATAAAATCTGCTGCAAAGTTGTAACAAATATAATAACTATGACCCCAGCTCCTCACACTGGGCTACCGAAGGGAAGGTTTTGACTTCGTCATTACCTGGCAGGTGAGTGAGGAGCAGCATTTGTTCTAATTTGGTCATTAGCCACGCTCCTGGCAGAGCCCCTAATCCTGTGATGCTCTAGGGGAGAGGTGTGAACACAGTGGCTCTTGATGGGCTCCTGGGTAAGGACAAGTTGCCAGAATGACCAAGCCATGATCAGACACTACAGACTCTCACCTCATCTGTCTGGGAAGAAGAGGAGCTGGAGGTGGGCCATTCCTAGGTAGCAAAACTTCCCATCAATTTTCCTGAATGGTAGACCCTCAGAGTTCTGGGTTGCTGACCACAGGGATGTGATAAGGGGATGGTACTCAGAGCTGCATGCAACCCCTATCACTGTATCCCAGCAGCCCACATCTTACCTGTGTATTTGGCTCATCTGGACTTGGGTACCTTTTAATCACATGGAAAGGCAGCTAAAATATGCCCTTGAGTTTTCCTAAATAATGATCAGACTTTAAAAAGGCCTTACAGAACCTCTATTTTGTCGTTAAATCTGACAAAGTTGTGGGTAAGTTGGAGTTACCACTTTTTTTTCCCCAAGGGATAGGATATATCTATAAGTTTGAGCCCTATGAAGTCTGCCCTACTTTGGCAGTGAGTGTCAGGAATAAGTTAAATTAATAGAACACCCAGCAGATGTTGGAAAATCAGTTGTTGTGGAAAAGCTCTGAGAAATATCATGTGAGTACACAGAAGAAACTGTTTGCTGCTTCCACAAGCAGGTAAGGACTTGCCAGGCAGCCACTAAGAAAAGGCAGCTGTGGGCTTGCTTTTAAAAATAATCTCATAAGAATTTAAGATAAAGATTTTAAATACAACCAAGGTAAAAGTACTATATATCAAAACATACAGCTGGCTGTTACAATTTTGATTATGACAAAGCTCAGGTCATCATATAATGAACAAGAATATAGAGAACCAAGAAACCTGGTGGTGTAAACTCATAACACCAGCATTCGGAAGGCTGAGATGGGAGGAACATGCATTCAAGGCTAGCACAGACAGTGTAGCAAAGCCCCATCTCAACATAATTAAAACAGCAACAACAAAACAAACAAACAAAAAACCCCAAGGAAATAAAGACCCACAGGCATCCACTGACTGACTTAAACACCCACCACAGTTTCCAAGAAACTATGACATGAATGAGTCCCAAAGACAGGATGCAAAAAAAGCAGTTGGTCTCCAGGAGATGAACTCTGTAATGACATTCACACAACGTTCATGAAATAGCCAATTCATGCAGACAGAAGGCAGAGTTGTGGCTTTCAGGAAATGAGGCAGATGAAATGGGACCTAGTGTGGATGGTGAGAAGTTCCAGGCTTGCAAGATGAAAAGTGATGGGACTAGAGGGTCATGATGGCTTCACATGACATGAATGAGCTGACACCAGTGAACTGTGCACTTAGAAATGGTTATGATGGTCATTTTCAAGTTATATGTTATTTTACCAAGGTATAAGCACATCTAAATGTTTTTGAAAGAAAAGGAAACCAAAATATTAAAAAAAACAAGAACAGCAGACAAAGTAGCCACAAACTTATGAGGAGCAAAAAAGTAAAATTAGGAGGGTCAGAAAAGATGGCTTGGTCAGTAAAAAGCTGGTCACACAAGCATGGGGACCTAGCCTTTATCTCCAGAGCTGGCTGCACCTGAAGTTTCAGAGCAGGCAGGTGGACACACATCCCTGGGGCAGTCTAGGTTAACTGGTAAACCTCAGCTTCCATGATAGATATCTCAAAAAGTAAAGCTAAGAGTGACTGAGGAAATTACCCACCACCAATCTTGGACTCCACATTCTTGATCATACACATGGACACACACACACACACACACACACACACACACACACACACACATCAAACGAAATTCAAGAAAGACACATGATCTTAAATGATAAAGAAGAGAGGCAAGAAATGGTGACGACCTGGGCAGAACTGTACTGTTTCATATTCTTATGACTCCCAAAGTGGACTATACTGACAAGGTGGGGTAGGCACAGTCTCGTAGAGTCTGAACTTGCAGACAGCCAGGACTTTGGGGCTCCTTTTCCAACTCATGAGATACTATATCAGAAGGCCAAAAAGTTGAAAAAGGTAATTAACAATGGGGCCACAGTGGTACGTCAGGAGAGGACTGGGAAGCAGGGAAGCATTTGAATATGAAAGAACAAGAGAATGTAAGATCCTCAAGGAAGGATTACATCTTGAGACTTGTAGAACCCCACCCTAGACATGCTGTGGTGGAAGTGTCTGAAGATCTTCCTTCCTGCTGTTCTTGGGATGGGATGGGCACCTGGTACATTCCCACTGTCTTGCTGGTTTGCCTCAGTGGCTCCCAGCATTCAGTGATGACTGGAATTCACATGTTGGACCCTTGAATAGGGAACAGGGATGGAGAAGACTGCACCTCCAGCAATTGGGTGACTCACACAGCCCTGTTGTACCGATGGTTGTTTTGTTGTTGTTTTGGCCAACTTGACAAAAGCTAGCTTCATCTGTGAGGAGGGAACTCCATTGCGAGAGTGCCTCCATCAAATCAAATTGGCCTCCAGATAATTCTGTGGGGCATTGTCTTGACAAATGACTGATGTGGGATGGCCCCATCCACTGTTGGTGATACCACCGCTGGGCAGGAGGTCCTGAGTGGTATAAAAAGCAGGCTGGACCAGCCATCGCAGCAAGCCATTAAGCTGCATTCCGCCCTTCTGCTTCAGATCCCAGTTCCTGCACTGACCTCTCTGATGGACTAGGGTGTGGAAGTGCAAACCAAATAAACCCTTTCCTCCCAGATAAACGCCAGGATAAAAAGCAAACTAGGATACCTGTCTTCTGCTGCGACTAGCAAGCACTGGCTCATCCCAGGGGCACATAGGACCCAGCAGCCAGGTCCCCAAAGTGATGTCTAAGGATCTGTGTCCAAATGTGTGTGTGTGTGTGTGTGTGTGTGTGTGTGTGTGTGTGTGTGTGCATGCATGTGTGTCCATTAAGCACAAGAGAAGAAATACGCACAATTAAAAGTGAAAAAAGTCACCACAAATACCAAGAAAGTCAGAAACCCTAAAGCTTATGTTGAAAACGATGCAACTACATTTAAAAATTGATGTGATTAATTTTAAAATAAAATATGCAATTAAAATCTTCTGTGGTGATATATGCCTATGATCTAGCACACAGAAGCTGAAACAGGAGAATTCTGAGTTCCAGACTAGCTTGGGAGTTAGCTCTTCTCTAGAAAAGATACAGAAAGAGCTCTTGTCTAGAAAACCCAGAAATAGACACAGACAGACACACAGACACACAGTGGGATACGGAAAAAGCTCCTTTATATAGAAAACACACACACATACACACACACACACACACACACACACACAGATACAGAAAGAACTGTCTAGAAGACGAAGACACACACACACAGACACACACACACACACACACACACACACACACACACACACACACACACACACACTGGGTTACAGAAAGAACTCCTGTCTAGAAAACAAAGACACAGACATACAGACACACACACAAAAGAAAACCCACATATACAGCTAAAATGGACACCAAATGTTCCAGAAGAGCTAATCTGTTTGATGTGAGAAATCGGAAACATGGGCAGCTCTCAGGCAGTTCTAAAACCAATTAGAATCTCCCCCAGTGACTTCAGGACTATTTTCAGGACCTTCCATGCATATGAAAGCACGAGAATGCTCAAGTCCTCCCGTGAAGTGGTGTGATATTTGGATATGACCCACACACGCCCTCTCATTTATATTGTAACATCTATAGGTTATTTATAATATAAATGATATGTACTTGCTATATTGCATTAACAAAGGAAAAACAAGAAGGCTGCATATGTTCAGTAAAGATGTGACTTTTGAATACTTTTCATCCACAGTTGATTGAATCCAAATGGTACACAAAAACAAACTATAAATGAATTAATCTTAATTATGAACATTGACAGCCAAAATCATTAGACAATGTAGCCATCACCTCAGGAATATATTATAATATCACCTTAATTATTTTGTTAATGAAACCTTCTGCTGGATAGATTGAAATTTCTGGTCCTTTCTATGGATACTGGGAGGGCTTTGACAGAAAGATACTATCCCAATTTTTTCCAGAGAGCAGTAATAGTTGAGAGAATACACAGATAATTTTTATTATGATGAAGAAAATACAATGTCTTCATACAAGTAAAACTGTGAGTCATTAAAATATCCATCAACATTAAGAACAAGATAAGTATGCAAACAAGCCAATTATTGTTCTCAAGTGCAACTGGATAGAAAAGAAAACAAAGATATTGGGAAGGATGAGTTAAAAGAAAACCTTAGAAACAAAATGGCACAATTATGGTGACAATTAACATTAACATACAAACTCAAACTACTTTCCTACACATTCAGCTAGAAAACAAAATTAATGCCACCAAACTGAAGATGGTAACCAATTGGTAAGTTATGAAGAAATAAACAGCAAGAAATTGGTAGGAATTTTCTCAACAGTCCTACTGACTACACAAAATTAGATCTGAATACAAGCTGACATTGTGGAGTTTCCAAACAGGAAGACCTGCTATGTGAATCCGTTGTGACCCCAGTTAGATGTTTAAGACACAGAGAATAAAAGGAAGGGAGCAGAAGAGAGAATCCACATGAAAATATTAATACTAATAGGAATAAAGCTTTGGAAATCAACAGCATCGAGGCAGATTAATCAACAAAACAGAACAGCACTTCAAGAAAGTCAATTTACACGGAAGGCGACAATCTGAACAGAGTGAAGAGTCCCATTATATTACAGAAATGCTTTATTATACGCCTGGTGTATCAGTGACCACCCTCAGAGAAGAGCAACTAGGTTTAGTTATAAAGGTGAACAAATGAACATATTGTTTAGAAAGAAAATATGAGTCAATTTATTTGTAAACTCAACATGGGGAAGACCACCTAGAGGGCAGTCTTATGTTCTACAGAAGAAAACATGAATAAACTAGCAACATAGAGTTTTAAACTTTCTATATGTCAATAAATATGCAATCAATAAACAGCATCAGAAACAAATGCCAAATAAAAATTAAAAGAATAAAAAACTGAAATTTGTATAAAAGATAGAAATATAAAATTGAAATTACCAAAATATATTTGAAAAATTCAACCTTTCTCATGGTAAAATGAACTAAAATCAGAATATTGTTGCCTTATCATTTTTACCAGTCAGATTGGGAAAGGAAAAACTAAATATGAAAATATTTAACACCAGAAAGCTGACAGTCTGGCCCTTGAACTGTCCTATGGGTGGGGCTATCCAGTTCACAGAGGACCATCTGGAAATATTTATCAAAAGTCTAAATGCACATAGTCTTACATCCAGTTTTTCCATTCCTAAACTGGCATTTATACCAAGATACAGTCACAAAAATATGGCAAAGTATGCACCAAAATGCTAACTACACACTTGTGTATAAAAATAAAACCTGGAAATAGTGTAGCTACGTGCTCACCAGTAAAAGGCTAAGCCAACAAATTGTAAGCCACCAAATGGAGTGGAACGCTAAGCAGCTAGTAAGAGGAATGAGGTAGACCTTTAGATGTCATTACGGAAAACTCTCTAGGACAAAACACTAGATGCAAAGCACCTTTCAAGCATGAGTTCAAGGAAAGCAACAACAACGTCCCTCCAAGCTCTCCTCCCTCTCTCCGTCCCCATCTTTCCTTTCTTCTTCTCTAAAACTGTTCCTAGGAGGAAATGGGAGCAAGGGGGAGACAATTTTGAACCATATACATCTTCTAACTATTAGCACAGCTAGACTTTACCATTATTTTTATAATGGCAATAATTACTCAGATAGTCAAAGCAAAGGCTAGGATTCAATTTTTAACTAACAGTAGGACACAAAGCCTGGTCTTTAGGTATCAAAGCACACCTATTTGTTTCCAGTTACTTTAATAAAAAAAAATAACACCAGCAAAAAAAAAATATTGTGCATGATTTGTTGATACTGGATGTAAAAGATGCATGCTGGGAATGACCCTGCTCTAGATGGTGAGTGCCAAAATCAACGAAGTCTCCAGATTTGTCCAAATCACTTTATACTATGTCCTTTCTTCAGACACTCACACACATACACACACACACACACACACACACACACACACACACACACACACACACACAGAGGCTACCACCAAGCCTTCATCTTCCTGCAGTAAAATTAGTAGCTAGGAAAAAGTGGGTTTTGTTGTTGTTGTTGTTGTTCGAGTTCTGAGAAATCTAATCTTCCCTCATGATTCCATCTCTGGAGTCAGAAGATTAAATTTTTTGGGGACCTCAGACACTTGGTATAGTTTTAAGCTTCAAGAAAATGGACAACATAATTGAACAGGGTTTTTCTTAGTGAAGAATCCTCAGACCCCATTAACAAATAAGACGTGAAATGGAAACAGACCACTATGAGTTACACAGCTAGACCTTAACTCAGAAGAGAAAAACATACAAACAACACCCCCTCATCTATCTCCAGTGAATCCATGCACTGACCCTGAGTCAGCTTTGCACCTGAAGCCATGGGAAGGTAGCTCCCCGGAGGCCAAATCCTGATGCCAGCAACATCACCTTGCTCCAGCTCCTGCCACACAGTAGCCCAGAGGGAAAGCCACGGGATATATTCATTTGGTGATGTGCAGTTATACAGATGCACAAACTTCTAAGACCAGTGAAGTCTGACTTGCAGAACAACTAAGAAACACTGTAGTGGGTAGCTCTCCCAGTTTTGACCTTGAAACACTGCCCCTAGAGTGATAGCAGGTAACTGCCATATCTGCCTGTGAACTGCCCCTGGGGCGTGGCTGAGAGGGAGCCCCTTAAGACTCAAGGTGTATATGCTTGCCCCTTCTGGATACCTCGTAGTCCTGGAAGCTGGATGGGAAACCAAGACAAAGTCCTCCACTGGATGGTACCTCATCTCTCCCGGATCCTGTAACCAACCCCTGTTGGCTTTAAGTTACCCCAGAAATAAACCTCTCTTGATTACCAGATAAATTATGTGGAACTGCCTCATTAATTACAGTTATAACTCTTATCTAAAAAACACACATCAAATGGTTTAGCGAAGCATCATCTACTCCCTTGTTAACACTCAGAACTCTATTTGCCCTTCAGCTTTTGCACAGTAAAACAGAATCAGGTAATCCCTCAGGACATGGGCACAGCATGAAGCTTGATATGTACAGGGACCACAGCTTCCAAAAGCTTTTGGCAAAGGCTAGTCCTAGTTTAGAACTGACACAACCAGTGTGCTAATTTCAGTACAGAGCTACAGGAACCAGCTTGCTGAAAACATCATTTAGAAGGCCAACTTTCTCTGTAGTAAAAAGTTGGTCATTAATAAAGAAAAAGAGGTAAGTTAAATCACAAAAAAACTCTGCAGAGAATTGAATTTGTGTTGCCTTCCTTTCACAAGGAAGTTGTCGAAATGGACCCAGTGAGTGCTGCTCAGCATTGGTTTCAGCCTGGGTCTGTGCATGGCACAGGCAGATAGTAAACTCTTATTTGAGCCCGTAACAAGGGGCATGCAGGCATGCAACACCAACTGGACAGGCCTCTACCGGCCAACAACAGCCACTGAGATATACCCTGCAGGGCTGTCCAGAGGGGGCAAATGACCACTTAGTAACCCTGCTGAAGGCAAGAATATGCCAATGGTAATTGTGAGAAGAAAAAACAGAAGGGTGCTGATATCTTTTTAGTTAAAGTAACCAGGAAACTAAGTCTCAAGACTGACAGCTACACGGATACTTCAGAGTTGTTATATGGGGTTAGGACCCCAAGTCTCACCCTCCAGATACTTTCCCTATCAGTACATTTCCTAGGTGGTGATATCACGCAAAGTCTTTGGAGACAGCCTCCACAAAGTTTGGGGCTGACATGAGGATGCCAATGGTGCAGATGATGGTAAAGACCGAAAAGGCCATGAGGCACAAGCGGTCCACCACGCAGGCTGCAAACTTCCACTCACTGCAGACCACTTCACTCTCATCCTGGCAGCGGAAGCGGTTGGCGATGTAGCGGACCTCCTCCAGGATCTTGGCCAGGTCGGGGTCCCCATCAGAAGGGTGTGCACCATGCAGGAGATGCTCATCGTGTGTTGGGGAGCAGGCCAAACGACCACACACGACCCCAGAGTCCGGAGTTGGGGCACAGTGCATGCCCTCCAGGCCTCGGAAGCCGATGTAGAGCAGGTTACCATTGCTGGTGGGTGGCCCGGCACCTGCGCTCAGCTCCACACTGGCCAGGCTGCAGCGGCGGCGAGCCTTGTGCTGACAGGCTGGCCGCACCTTGTCCTCCCCAGGCCTCTTCATGCGCAGGAACCATGCACACCAGTTCAGAAGAATGATCCTGGTCTGCAAAGACAGCAACAGGATGTCAAGAGCTGCCCAGAGTTGTATAGTAGCTGAGCCTCACAGCAAGGCGACCACACAATGGGAGCCTGCTTTACAGATCTTGGGGAGATTGGGCTTCTCTGTCTTCTCAGCGAATGTATACAGCAAATCAGTGAGGAAACCTTGCAAGAATGAAGTCAAATGTGAGGTGAGAATATGACCTATGTACGTTTAGCACTGTGGGAACAAACTGAAGGTCCCCTGGGATGGACATATTACACCCTCTATGAGAGGAAAAAGGCAGTTAGCTCGGTAAGAATGCCTGAGATGTGTGTAGCAGGGAAAATCATTTTCTTTTCCGAACTTTCCTTTTTGACTCCCAGGGACTCTAATTCCCTGGCTCCAATCCAGACTAGGAGATGCCAGGAAGGTCACTACAAGCTAAGCGAGGCTCTGTAATACGTCTGTAGACACAGCGTGGACTCCCAGCTTGGAGTACCTTCAGGTTGTTACTTCAAATATCCACATCTTTTGTGAGACTCCATATCTTTGCAAAGTGGGTTTGAAAAACTGTGTCAAAATTATCAAGAGAATCAACAAGAAACAGACATGAGGGTGATAGTCTCTAATCTGTTCCCAGGAGTTGAGAGGATGTGCCTGTGCTTCCATGGATGCCAAACTGTGAAGGCAAAGGCATGTGATAATTTGTTTTAAGCTCTGTAAATGGGCTGCTGGGCCTGAAAGTCCTATGAAAAAAAAAAAAACAGCTAAGCTATTAATATGGAAGAAAGCATAGGCCCTTCTAAGCCAGCTCATTAGGCTCTGATGATGAGCAAATAAGACCAGGTTTGGGGCAGTATATGGAAAGGCAGAGACAGGTGTTAGCACACTTCTATGACCAGTCCAGGCCATGGAGGCCCTCTGACAGCAACACCCTCTGCTGGTGTGCACATGTGAGTGCACAAGTGGGTGGGTATGAGGGATGCCTTAAAAAAAAAACTTTTTATAAATTGTTTTTAAAAGGCTGAGGTCATAGTTGGGTATTAGAGTTTATCAACCTGGCCCTTCGAGTTTTATAAATGGGCAGTGTTAGAGGTTCCGTGTTTTGGGACAGCTGGACAAAGAAGAAGATTCTTGAAGACAGTTCCAGCATGTAAACAGTGGGCCTTTTTCTAAAACACCTAGATGCACACCTCATGTTCATCTTGACTTCTGATCACAGGAGAACCTCCCACCTATAGAGGAGGTTGTAAGTCGTGACGTGCACGTCTGCAGTGCTTGCTTTCTTGAGAGTCATTTTCATGGCATCTTATCAAAAATGCAAACATGAGGTCTGTAGACAGTGAGAAGTGCAAGAAATGTCGAGCTTAGGTTCCCCACAGCTGGGAAGCCTTTCCCAGCCTTATCTTCCAGTGTGGCAGACTGCATCAGGGAAAATCTTGGCTGTAAGGACTTTTCAAAATTAGGGAAAAGCAGAGGACCGCAGCTACCTTCTCATGAGGCTGAACATGGAGCTCAGTCATCTGGAGTCATGAAATGAGAAGAAATCCCCTATTTTACAGATCAACTGAGACTCAGAGAAGATACTGAATTGGCTCAAGGCCACCTCCTTTACTGTGCTTAGACTGATGCAAGGCTCACCTAACATCCAGGCTTCTCTTCAGAACTCCTATGACTTAGCCCACCCCTCTTCCAGAAGACCCCTGAAGGCCTGTGCTAGATCTCAAAGGAGGGACAAACTCTAAGTGGATCTGAACTCCGAGGCAGCTGTGCACACAAGAGCTGAGCAGGGCTGGTCACCTTTCCTGCCACAAGGGGGTCCATACGTTCTCTGAGATGCATCTGCAACTAGTATGATCTATGTCGCCAAGTCTATTTTGAGTTCCATGGCCTGAATCATTAGCTTTCAAGGATATCACATCTCCAAAGCTGGAATTAGCCTCTCGGTACTTATCAAACCGTGCCCATGACCTCTTCTGTTAGCCTACGGTTTTGTTGTGACTTGTGCAAATGTCACATAATACCACTGCACCCGGGAGTTATCCTCTTCACAACAGCAACAGATCATAATAAGAGTCCCTCGGAGACTGTTTATGTTTCAAAGACACAAGGAATGAATGAAAAATGTTGCATGCTTTATAAAATGAGAGAAAATACACACTTATGTTTTACTTGCAGTCATTTGGTTTTAACAACCTTTTATTCTGAGAGGCCTGTGATAGACAAATGCTCTTAATTAAGATTCTGGGAGAATAAAGTGGTACCAGTTTACTAAAAATGGTTTTGTGTCTCTGTGTGTCAGTTCCTTTATCTTCACACCAGCCAAAATACTCAAAGAAATAAGAATGAGTGTATTTTTCTTTGTGTTAGCATAAACACTAGAGGAAATACAAGGAATTTATTAAAATGGTTGTTGTGGAATATTATTTTGACTGGGCAAAGATGCATTACATTTGTTTATGCTGCGGGACATTAACTGTGTAAAGGTGTGTTACATTTGTTTCACACATACATTTATGCTGTATTTGTTTAATTATGTAAAGATGTGTTGCATTTGTTTCACCTCGCCTGCCTAAGCCACCTGATTGGTCTAATAAAAAGCTGAATGGCCAATAGGTAGGTAGGAGAGGGATAGGTAGGGCTGGCGGGCAGACAGAATAAATAAGAGGAGAAATCTAGGCTCCAAATGAATGAGAGACAAGAGGAGAGAATGAGGGAGAAAGAGAGAAATATCCAGGGCCAGGCAGCCAGGCAGCTGCCAGACAGACAGACACAGAAGCAGCAGGAAAAGCAGGACATACAGAAAGAAAAGTAAAAAGCCCCAAGGCAAGAGGTAGAAAAAGAGAAACAGGTCAATTTAAGTTAAAAAGAGCTAGCCAGAAATGAGCCTAAGCTAGGCTGAGCATTCAAAACTAATATAAGTCTGTGTGTCATGATTTGGGAGCTGGTTGGTGGCCTAAAAGAAAAAGCCTGATACAATGGTTGTCAGTATTGGTGGTGACAAAGGACTGGAGTGAAATGGGAGGCAAACTTTCTTTTGTATGATGTTGCTTTTACTCTTGCTTTTGAAACAGGTAATGTGAAATGTGTTTCAAATGGATGGATAGGCAGAAAGACATATAAGTCAAACCAAACTTAGTTTGCCCTGTAGTGTATCAGGATGCTAACAAAGAAGAGAATACAGGTGAATGTGTCTCAGCTTTATAACAGAAGCGATGACTTCTAAAACAAGCTTCATGGACTGCAGTCAAGGCATTTGAGACATAACCATTGAGGCTAAGTACATACTCCAGCTGCTACTGTGAACTTTATCTGGGATTTATTATATGTTTAAGGGCAAGTAGAGTCTGAGAGGAACTAATACTTTTACAAGGCCACTGGAAAATAAAAGTACCCTTTCCTAAGGTAGGCCACTATAAGGCATTGCACAATGGCTGTCTTCAGAAGGCTCGATGCCATCTGTTGTGCTGGGGATGCATTTTGACATGTGGGTGATTCCCAGGTTTCCTTCTGGACTTGAGCAGTACTGAATGGGTCTCCAGATAGGCTCCTTTTGGGATGGAGAGGGCTGCTCTGCTTATCCTCAGACAGGAAGACAAGGGTATCTGCAAGGTTCACTAGTGATGTTGGGTCAGGGCAGCTCTCCTCTACCTTGGGTTTCATTCGGGAAAGGTGTAAGACAGTCTAGGCTCAGAGTGAGCCTAGTCAAGGTCTCTGTACCAGCCAAGAGCAGAGCTTCAGATACTGGTCCTGAAATGCTATGCAAGGTGAGAATCAGCAGACAATAGTGCCAGTCTGATGTTTGCAGGCACAGGGAAGTGATGATGTGACCTGGGCTGAGACCTCATCCATTGCCTTTTGCTCTCTGTCCATTACCCACTGGGAACCATTCATCTTATGTCATAGGTTTGGGGTTAGACTGTAAACCTCTAGGTATTGATTGGATAGAAACTTGGCCCTTTGCGACGCTGGTTTCTGGCCCTATTAATTCTAGTAAGCACACATTGAAAAACCTTTAGGAAAACAAAACCTGAATGTGCATTGAACAAGTACAGATATCTCTCTTTTATCATTCTCTAAACCATGCTGCATAAGAACTACAGCTATGGCATTTACATATCAGTAGGTCTGTAAGTCATCTGGAGATGACTTACATCTGCAGTACACTGGAAGGTGTGTACAGGTTCTGTGCAAGTGCAACACCATTTCTACAAGGGGCTTGGGCACTTTCAGATGTCCCTGTTGTCAAGGGTTCTAGAACCAGGTGCCCTGCAGATACCGAGAAACACTCATGCCGGTTCTCATTCTTTTCACTGCTCAGTCTGCTGGGAAGCTCCAGCCATGTTGCTTCATGGCCACTCTCCTAGTTCTTCCAACTGCTACCCAGTACCCCTCTGTGGACATATGGGAGGGGAGCTTTTAAAGCACAATGCTAGCAGGACCCACAAGCAGCCAATGTGGAGTCCCGATCTGGGATGTCAGTACAAAACACTGCCACCTCCACTGCACCATCCTCAAAGATACAGAGGGGTGAAATCTCTTTGGGGGCGCCAGACAATAGGAAACCGAGAGAGGATCCCCTTTCAGGGAGAGCTGTGACTCTACAGGGGCACAGGACGTACCCACTTGGGCATTTTGCCGCCATCAGGGTCATGATGGTGATATCGCAGCACGATCACTGTCACCACCACAGACAGGCCCACGATGATCATGGTGCTGGCGAAGTACTGTGCTGTAGAGAGAACAGAGGCAGCGTGAAACCTGGGGCCCCAGCAGCACCTACTGGGGTGATGCTCTCCTATCAGGGCCTCCTGAGTGGTCATACTGAAAAACAGGCTGTAGCCTAATATCCACACTTCTGGTGGAAAAGGGACAGTTGAGACCTCAAAGACTTCACTCTCTACCACAAAACAGAAGTGACTCTCCCAATGAAGCTAAACAGTCTCTGATGGCGTACAGTTCCCATCCCCATGACACACTGGACTAGGAACAGAGCCCCGGCTGCAGCAGTGAGAATCGGAAACTAACCTGGTCACAGCATTCTTCACACAACCTCATTTGTTTCCATCTTGGAAACTATGAAAATATGGGGTCTTCCTACTTCTGTCACTTATCCCTGCTCAGAAACACCTAACCTAGACAAAACAGCTGTTCCACTTCCATTTCTCTAAACACTTATTCAATAAATAGACACTGAATGATCTCAGTATATTCATGAGGAGCTAAGAATTAAAATATGTGCTTTAGTCAAAAACAAAATAATCCAGGTAAAATAATGAATGTCAGATTGTAAAGTCTTGGGCTCTAGAGCAGAAAGTATGAGTGGTTGGAACACAGGAGGAAGGGACATTCCAGCCCACACATGCCACCCACTCCCACCCCAGATGGGTCATGCTATGTTCCTCTGGCTAGTCTTGAACTCCTGAACTTTGTAATCCTTCTGCCTTAGCATCACAAATACTGAGACTACAGGTACGTATCACCACACATGGCCTTTCTTCAGTTTAAAGGCAAGCCACAAATTTGGACATTTTTTTCCTCCTGCTTGGGCCTAGGTATTGGCCATGGTGTTTTCCAATAGTTACAGCAAGTCATGTCTCCACAGCAGAGGACGGGGGAGGGGGGGCAGAATAAATCTCTAGGACCTCCTCCATGCACCTGCTGGGAAGTCCGAGGCACACTTGAGTCCTTGCCTTACCTATCAAGGGCACAGAATCAGATGTTGCAGGCATGATCTCAGCCACAAGCAGCATGAAGACAGTCAGGGAAAGCAAGACTGTTATTCCTGAAACAGAAACAGGAGGAGTTCCTTAAGCAGAACAGACAACATGGCTGAAACTACACCCCACAGGAGCTCAAGACGGTAGTGTCAAACCGTAGGCTGCTGGGGCTACACCCTGAGTCCCGTGCTTTCTGTACATACAGCCATATGCATTTTCCTGGGTACAGTTCCCGTCACCTGCCAGAGCCCAAAGGACCCTCTAACGGAGACAAGTTTAGGAACCACAATTTGAGAGAGTCAACCAGCATGATTACTTCTCAGGGTCTTTACTGCATTAGAACTAAGAAGCAGTTTCACACAGCAGGATCAGGAAACCATGTGGCCAGAAGATTCGGTTTCATTCAGGTCTTGACTTTGCAGCTTAATTGGCTGTGTGACCTTGGGTAAGCTATTTAATATTCTAAGCCTTATGCTAAGAAGATAGAAGGCTTGTGAAAGCTTTCTTCAACACACTAGATATGTGTTTATTTAGCAATTTTGTGGTATAAGCAGCTCATTTTACCCCCACTTTTTATGTCTTCACAGGGGAAGCAATTACGAGGAATTCCATCCCTATTGTAATGTGTACGATAATGTACAAATGCAAGCTGATATTAAGCTAATGTGTCTCCCATCTATAGTGGAGGCTGGCCACTGAGGAGCAAAGTGGGTGGCAGTGAGCAAGAAAAGAAACATAGCCCATCAGGATAGAACTGATCTGGTTCCAAGCTGTATTCTGTCTTCTTCACAATATCATGGAATCCCTGGACCCTGCCAATGCTCAAGAAGACTCTGTCTCCCGAAGAGACCGAAGAAGAGAAGAAACCAGGAGTTTCTGATGTGGTGAGTCTGATCCTGGCACAGGGGTCCATGTATGGTAGGTCACAAGGAACTCCTGCAAGGTCGACAGTGTCCTGCAGAGCTTGCCTCAGGGAAGGACTTGGACACTTACCAAGGGAGATTTTCTCCCCAGAGTCTGCAGGGAGCAAGAATACCAGCAGAGCTAGGGCCGAGATGAGCACACAGGGGATGAGCAGATTGAGACCATAGTAGAGCGTCCTGCGGCGCATGGTTACTGTGTAGGTGACATCTGGGTATGGCTCTTTGCAGCATTCGTAGAACTTCTCATTCCTCTTGCCAGGGATTCCTACATGGGGGGAGGGGGCAGAAGGAGGAGGAGGTCATCAGAAGACACAATTGACTTTTGTTGCTAAGTGTGTATGACACAGGAGCACAGCCCTAAAAGTGGGTGATGGGTGTTTGAACAAAGCTTTACAGGTATGCTATAGCTATTTAAAGGTATCTCAGTGATATTCAAGAAAACTGGTAGATATTCTTTTGATGCATTAGAAGTACTTATACCTGGTCAATTTTACAGCATTACAAACGTAATTACAAACAAGTGCCACGTAATGGTGTTTCTGTCAAAGATGGAAGAAATGTATAACGGTGAGTCAATAACATTGTATCACTTACGGATTCTGTAGCTGGCTTACTTTGTATAGTATAAGTGCATTCTATGATGTTCACATAATAAAAATGCATAATAACACTTTTCCAAATGTATAGTAAGTGACTCATAATTGGTTTGGATTTAAAATGATATAATATAGGTTAAAAAAAATAAGTCAAAATGGCTAGCTACAGAAAGAAAAAAAATCAAACTATTTTTCTAAGACTTAGAGGTTTGCTGACAGGGCATAAAATTGCTATGCAGGTATCATGTCAGGAAGTGTGTGTGCCAGAAGGAACAGTTTCTCAGAATCTCACATTACCTTTAGAAGATTAAGAATGCAAGAGTGACCAGTTTGCTCCCTGACAGTCCAATAGACTTAGGAATTTACAATCACCCTGGTTTACACCTTTTTCAAACTACCTGAATCGCATTGTGTATCCTTGCACCCCATTCAAAACTGTCATATGCACTTTTTGATTTAAAATCCAAAGTCCACCCCCTCTCAGCAGAGTACTGACTTGACGTCTAGATGAACTGTGTCTCCCAAAGTAAAATATTGTTCTGTGCTCAAACACTGCTGTTGTACTTCTGGCTGAACCCCACTTGTGATTTTCTTCATTTACACCATCAACTGCAATGTGCAGTTCAAACATGCTATAGGGTTCGAATGGATCCCACAAACTCTCCACTAGCACTGCTGGTTTAACGGGCCCTGCCACAGCTGTTTGCTGCACCCACTAATTGATTTCTGCTTCTCATTCTGAGCTCTCAGGACATGATGGAAAAGGCTGTCAAGTGCAGTCAATGAAAGGAACAGTAGAAAAATCCCCACGTTTTTCAGCTCACACAGGTAGACGGCACCTCTTTTCTGGGATACAAGGTCTGTGGTCTTTTGCTGGCCTTACCCATGAGATCCCATTCTCCATTGGGGATGTAGCTGCTGATATCTGCCTCCTGCATCTGCAAGTCCAGGGACCACCCTCCATAGGACCAGGACCCAAACTTCAGCTTGCACTGCTGCACATCAAAAGGGAACCAGCGCACATCAATGTAGCAGGAGCTCTTGAATATGCCTAGGGGAGCATGGGGAATGATCAGAGGATTGAAGTGGAGCTACTGCACCAGGCCCAGAACACACAGCAGTTCCCACAGGCTGCTCCCCTCCACACACACACCCTGAAATCTTGCTAGACCTATTCGGAACAAACCGAGGTGCTTCCCCCCGACCCCCCACCATTTTTCCTTTTGCAAAAACTCCTAGAGAAGCACAACCAAAGCATCACTGCCTTTTCAAGTTAAAACATAACTATAGCCTCTGTTATGGAAGGCTTTTCCCAGGAAACTTTGTGCAAATAATTAATTATATACTTTATTTGCCGGGAATACATTCAGGCTCTAAGCAATATGAGAAAAAGAAAGGATGTAGGAAATCTCAGAGAAGCTGATAAAAATGATGAAGGAGTTAGAGAATTGGAAATGGGCAGGGAGAGGCCGGTTTTGTTTGTTTGTTTGTAACAAATTAAGAAAACTTCTAGTTATATGAAAATATATGTTGAGTGTAATTCTAACCTGTTCAGTTTCCACAGCAAGAATGGAATAACATGCAAAATTAAAAAGACAGAGTTTGGATACAAAGGAACATTCCACTGAACGATGGTGGAATTCCCAGAAATGGATTTCCCAGAAGGCCATGGTGAGGAGACACATACATCCACTCCAGACTTCTGTGGCCTGTGCTCTTGCCTGCCCACAGGAGCCTGGAGTGTCCTGGAAGGCAATAATGGCTGAAGTGCTCCAGTGCTAGCGGAGCAAGGGCAACACATCTCACATTTCTTCTGCTGAATTAAAGACTGAATGGAGGAAGGAATTGAAGCGCTTTCCACAGGTACACTCCACTGCACATCCATGCTGAGAAAACATAATAAACCGACCCTTACAAGTCCTTTAAATGTGACTTACAATCCCAGATACTTGGGGAGATGAAGATGACAAGTTCAAGGCTATCCCAGGCAACTTAGTGATATCCTATCTCAAAATAAAAAGGTAGAAAGGCAGCCAGGGATACAGCTCAGCAGTAGAGTGCCTACTTAGCATGTATGAGGCTCGAAATCCAACAACAATACTGTACTGTGTATGTGTGCATGTATATATAGTCATACACACACACACACACACACACACACACACACACACACACACACACATGCACAAACACACACAGGACTTACAGAATTACTTCAGCTGCCCACAGGAGCCTGAAAGTCACCACTGGCATCCCCTTACCATTAGTGGACTAAATTTCCCCTGCTGGAGACCGACTCTGGACAGCTGTGTCTTGAATTTTGTGTGACCTTCCTTACTTTATCAAACCTTGCAAAAAACAGGTTCCTGGCCTAACCTCGGGCTGTACAACTTCCTGGAGTACATGCTAATCAGCCAGCTGCAGGGGCCTGGGACCAAAGCGACCTCACCCTTCCTTAGGAATTTTCCATTCTTCTCTCCTTTTGCTTCCCCTGCTCCCCCTCCCTGCCTGAAGCCCTGCTTATAAGCCTCAATACCCAGTCAATAAACGAGACCTTGACATGACTCAGACTGACTCTGTCTTCCCTTATGCGCCTGGTCTCCTTTCTCTCTCGCCCCCATTGATCTTTCAGGAGGTGCCTCCTCGGGTCTCCCCAATAACCTGGCCCGCGGGACGGGTCATACCCCTAATCCAACTACAGTGTATTTGATTCCATTTCTATGACAAGACCCAAGAAAGAGACAGAAAGGATTCAAAGGTTGTCTGAGGCTTGCAGCAAGATCAGTTAACTGCCAACAGGCAAGGGATGATGGGGACATTCTAAAACTCAATTGTAGTGATCTTCTGAGAATTTACTGAAACTCAAGGAGTCAGACACTATAAATGTATAATATGCAAATTCTACCTCGGTCTGCCTGTTAAAAATAAATACATGAAGCTGGTGGAGAGATGGTTCAGTGGCTAAGAACACAGGTTGCTTTTCCAAAGGACCCAGGTTTGATTCCCAGCACTCACATGGTGGCTCACAACTACCCATTACTTCACTGAGAGTGTGCTGGAAGGCATCACCCAGCCCCCTCTGCAAGGGGCCTGTAGTGTGGAGGAAGGGCTGGAGTCTGCAAGCAGATGATTTAAGACAGAAAGTCTGAGAAGCAACACTTCTTTAATCAATATAAACATCAGTGAGAGGGATATGTCTCTGCTAGATTCAATCACTTATTCATTCATGTATTGACACACAGCCACCTGCAGTTGAGGAGTGATGGATTGCAAGGTGAGCAAACAGAGATTCTGTCTACAGAATTGTTATCATCTGCTAACAGGAAGAGTGTTGTAAACAATAGGCAAAGCCAGCATCGCCATGTGCTGTGAGATAAGGGCGGGCTGAACGCTAGAGAAGGGTGTGGTGTGTGTGTGTGTGTGTGTGTGTGTGTGTGTGTGTGTGTGTGTGTGTTATGAGAAGTTGGATATTCAAGGGCTGCATATGTTGGGAGTGTGTTAGTGTGTTCTAAGTGTAGTGGCAACAGTGTGGCAGTGGCAGTGAGGAAGGTATGATTCTTGAAAATATGTTAACAAATCTTCTGAATGATAAAGTGAAAAGAATTAATACCCATATCCTAAAACACACCTTGAATGTGTCTCAAGGGCATAAAGCTGTAGTTTCCCAGGCTGTGTGGATTGCTCAATGAGCTGCCTGGGATCCTGTGAGTCCCACAGTAATGACAGGCAGGGAAACAGATCAACCCCCATGAAGCCATTTACCACCAGGAGGTTAAGAAGAAGAAAAGTTGGGGAACAAGCCACCAGAAGGTGCTCCCTTGAAGCTGGGTCTTGCATCTACCTTGTGAGCAATCTTGAGTTCCTGAACACAGAATGTCCACTACCTTCCCAGCACCGCAGTACCTGCCAACTTACTGTGCCAACTGGGAAGAGATGAAGAGAAAAGGCCTGCCCATCGTGCTGATGGGCAGAAAGAAGAGCTGAAAATTACTCCACAAAGGAGACTAGACTGTGAGTTAATATTAATAAGAACATAAGACAGACCCTGGCAAAGACCCTCTGAATGTGATCTCAACATCAGAGATGACACCAGAGTGAGTTGAAGAGACGTGTGAGAGTTCTGATGGGAAGGGCAGGATGGGAAGAGACAACATGGATTCAGTCCTCCCTCAGGAGGGCAATCCTTGAGACACTAATCCTCCCTCAGGAGGGCAGTCCTTGGGATACCTGTCCCTCCTCAGGAGGGCAGTCCTTGGGACTGATACATATACTTGCTTAAATTTTCTCACTGGATGAAGACCAAGGAAGAAGATCTTACCTGGAGGAAGATACTGGCAATGCCCAGATGCGTTCACCAAGACGTTGGTGTGGAATGTGGCATCAAACCGTTCATCAGCACTAGAAACAGGAAAAGGATTCATGAGCCAGAACCTCCAGGCAGTGGGTTTCTTACTATCCTTAGATTTGTTGTGCTTATGAGTCACAGAGTGGCAGCTTCTTGAAGGGTTCCTCTTATAACTGGACAATCTCACACTTGCCTGGGAGAGCCATTTCCTACAAATTGTGATGTCCTGGTTTTCTTTCTGTTGTTGTGATTAAGCAACTTAGAAAACACAGACTCACAATTCTAGGTTACAGGAAAGTTAAGGCAATAACTTGAAGCATCGCCTGCAGAGTCAAGGGCAGGGGTAATAAACAAATAGACCCCCCATTTTCTTTCTCTCCCAGCTACCGTTTTCTCTGTCACCCTGCTCAGGACTCCCTGCCATTCCTGAGGAGACATAAACTAATACCTACTCATCCCAGATAAGGGACCAAGGGCAGACCAAAGTAAGGATACCACCAAAGTCCAACTTTATTGGGGGCTAATTACAGGAATATAAGTCAGGGGTTACTTACAAGGGCAGAAATGACTCAAAATATTGCATCATCAAAGTCTACCCCAGAGTGGGTGAGAACTCAGAAAAGCTGGAAACATGGCATATACTACATCATCTGCAGTGAGCTGAAGAGTTTAAATAGTGTCCTTTCCCACTAGCTCAGTGAGTCTGAGACTCTTCCAGGCTTCCTTGCTAGTCTTTGCTCTTCCAGGCAGCCCAGATTATCTCTGCTTCTTCCAGGTAGCTTGGCCGGTCTCTGTTTCTTCCAGGCAGTTCAGCTGGTCTAAGCCTCTTCCAGGCAGCCCAGGTTGTCTGGGAGTGCCTCTCAGCAGTCCTTACTGCTTATATATGCTTGGAAGAGAAAGGATCTAGTATACTTAGTCAGTTTTAGGGACTTCCTAAAGCCCTTGAATCTCTTTCCTGAGCTCACCAGATTCCATGCAGGATGGAATGTTGTGTATTAGAACATCTCGTGTCTCAGTGAGTGTCCCTCTAAGACACAGGGTTTTACTTCTGAGGAGACTGCTATACAACACCTGCCTAGGGAATGGTACTGCCTGCGGTGGGCTGAGTCTTCCTAAATCAATTAGCAATCAAGACACCCCTCCTCCATGCACACCAACATGGCCATGGGCCAACATGATCTACACAATTCCTTGAAAGGTGAGTCTAGGTTGTGTCAAGTTGACAAGTGACTAACGAGTACAGATGTTTTCTATCATGTGTCCAATACAAAGCTCCTATCCAACATGAAACCTAAAGGCAAGAGATGAGAAGTGTGACATACCCACAGGAGACCTCATGAAGCAGGGAATTTACCTGTGACCAAAACTCTAGTTCCAATCTCTAGAATGGGGCTCACACTTGATTAGTGTTAACAGATGCTGTTTGAATGACTAAAAGCATAGGTGCGGGGTCTGGGTACCAGCAGGGCCCCAGAGATTCTAGACAACAATGATGATAAGGTGGTAGATGGCAAATTAAGTGTTTTACATGAATGCACCCCAGCTTTATCCCCTATGTTTAAACTTCCTACAGAAAGAAGTTATGACTGAAATAAAGGAAACACAAGCACACCAGAAAGATAAAGCAACTGTTAAAACTAACAGCTTGTGCTAACCATCTCTTACATTTTCTACATTCTGATGTTCTGAGATCTCAGACCTCGAGGGCCCTGCTGGGGCTTCCCTCTTGGGATCAGGCAGTTCCTAGAGAGATGCCAAGTGTACCAGTTTCTTTACTGTTGCTATGATAAACACTACAACTAGCAGTAACACAGGGAGGAAAGGGTTTCTTTGGTTTGTAGGATACAGTCTATCAACAAGGGAAGCCAAAGCAGGAATCTAGAGGCAGAGATTGTAGGAGAGGCTTACTCCCTTGACCTTCTCTGCTTGCTTTCTTATACAAATACCTGCCCAAGAGTAGTGTATTTATTACTATTGCTGTGATGAAACACCATGACCAAAAGCAACTTGAGGAAGAAAGTGTTAATTTCACTCACAGTTCCATGTAACAGCTCATCATCAGAAGTAGTGAGGGAAGGAACTCATGCAGGGCAGGAACCTGGAGGCAAGAACTGATTTAGATGCCATCAAGGAGTGCTGCTTACTGGCTTGCTTCCCCTGGCATGCTCAGCCTGCTTTCATATGGATCCCTCAACCACCAGCACAATAATGGCTCCACCCACAATGGGCTGGGTCCTCCCCCATCAGTCACTAATTAAGAAAATGCCCTATAGGCTTGCCTACAACCTGTTCTTATGGAGGCATTTGCTAAATCAAGGCTTCCTCCTCTCTGATGACTATCTGTGTCTTGTTGACATAAGACTAGCCAGTACAGGTAGTGTAGTCCACAGTGGGCTGGGCCCTCACACATCAATCAATATCCAAGAAAATATCACATAGATACATCTATAGGCCAACCTGATGGGGTTAATTTCTCAACTGAGGTTCTTTCCTTCTTCCAGGCGATTCTGCGTGCGCGCACACACACGCGTGCGCGCGCGCGCGCGCGCGCGCACACACACACACACACACACACACACACACACACACACACACACACACCTCTAAATAAATAGAAAACCCAGGCATCCAGTCACCTCGCTAGCCAGAGTTCCTCTCACTTTGACAACCAAGGGCCCACCTAGGGCTGCCCATGTGGACAGCTCCTCAGGCAGTCTGTTCTGCATCCAGGGTCCCTCAGATGAAACCTCAAGAGTCACAAGGCACCAATGATCCATCTTCCCTGGGAACCACACAATCATGGGTCAATATTTTAAAACAAAAACAAATGTAAACGATGGAAAATTACTTCCTAAAAAGAGGAGTATCCTCCCCAAATTCAAGAATATATTACAATTAGGAAAACAAAAAGCGACATAGAGACTAGAGCTGTGCTTGATGAAATAAGTTCCAATAAACAGTGGGCGGTTCCACTGGTAAGCGTCAGGGAGGACGGCAGAACAGAAATGATGCACGCCCCAAAGGACAAGCCAGCGGAGCCCACATCACTGACAGGAGCTCCACTGGAAGACAGCAGCCAGAGTGGGAGGGAGGGGACCGCCAAGAAGAAAGGACACAAAGGAATTCTCTAAGCAGAAGGAAACCGTTCAAGTGTGAAGGCAGAGAGACGTATTTACAAGAACATGAAGGCCGCAGAGAGCTAGAGTCCCACACACCTGTCCTCGGGCAGCGTTAGAAAAATATTAGAAAAAGAGAGAGGGGGGAGAGAAAGACAGAGAAAGAGATAGAGAGAGGGGAAGAGGGAGGGAAGGAGGGAGAGAGAGAGGGAGAGAGACAGAGAAAAAGAGACAGAGAGAGGGAGATAGAAAGAGAGAGGAAGGGAGAGAGAAGAAGGGGGAGAGGAGAGACAGGAGAGAGGGTAGAGGAGAGGGGAGGGGTGGGGAGGGGAGGGGAGAGGAGAGAGAGGAGAGAGAAAAGGGAGGGGAGAGGGGAGGGGGGAGGGGGAGAGGGGAGAGAGGGAGGGAGGGAGGGAGGGAGGGAGAGAGAGAGAGAGTTATACACTCAACTGGGAAGGGAGAACAGGGCCACTATGATGTGTGATGCAGATTGCTAGAACCTGGTGCTAAACTGGAGAGGGCCTCTCTTGGATTGGCATGAGATGGGAATCAGACAGAAGAAAGTGTGTTTTGGAACACAGACTTTTGATTTTGTTTCATTTTGTTTGACGGCAGTGTTTTGCTGTGTAGTCTAGCCTAGCCACAAACTCGGAATCCTCCTGCCTCAGTCGTCTTGCAAGTGCAGAGACTGCAGCTGTGCACCACACCTGGCCAACATCATGGATCTCATTAGAGGCATATTTTTAAAAACCTCCTAAGAGGCAGTTCTGTTACTGCCACGCCCACTCTTCTCTGTGCAGTGTGCTCAGAGAACCTCTTATTCTTCTTTCATTTTTCAATCTTACAGCAAGCAGGAAATAAAGGACAGAAACTCAAAGGGGAAAATGTTCAAGGATGTCAAGATACAGATACAAAACAAAACTATGATGAAGTTTAAAGGGAGGGAGGGAAGCAATTCATCGTGGATGGGTAGGACAGTTACAAACACATCTACTGCCTCACACCCAACTCCACAGGGAGAGAAAGTGGGGAAACACTTGGCTACATCTTCACATGACTGTCACTGAGCCATATTATAGTGACTGGAGGGGACTCACTGACGTCACGGCTTCCACTCCAACCCAGGACAGTACTGTGACTTTCCAACTGGTTCTCTGGAACCCTGAGATGCTGGGGAGATAATCCAGAATCTCAGGAAAGGGCTTATTTTCTTTTTATTGTCTATGAAAATGGATATAAAAATCAGCCCACACTCAAATGACAAGATCTGAAGTCTCAGCGCTTCAAAGCGTTCACGTGGTTCCTTTTCCTCCTTTCCAAGTGAAAAATGTACGAGGATTTTTTCCTCCCCTGAACGCACACACGTCTGAACCTCTTACACAAGTTATCACATAAGACTTCAGCTCGGCATTGCCCTTTTAAGAAGTACACGTTTGTACTTACAATTTCTCACAGGGAACCCGTGTTCCCACCAATGCTGGTGATCCACAACCTCCACAGAAAGTGTCAGATGAGTACTGAAGCCGAGTATTTTTATATTAAGTTTGGCGTTTTTCTTCTGATTTTTATATTTATAATAAATACCACCATGGGCATCTGTAATATCCATGATTCAATTATGGAAAAAAAAAACAGTCCCTAAAAGCTTTTCCTTCAAGTATTTTGATCAATCTGACTGAAGAGCTCTCAAGACCACAAGAGAAATGGGCTACACACAAGATAAAACGCTGTTGCCATTAGCAACAGCAAACCTGGATGACTAGGTGACTTGTGAATGTGGTTCATCCAAACAGGCATCGAGATGGACTGGACTGTAACACTGCAGCTGCTATCCAAACAGACCCTTGTGTTCAGAGTAGCCGTTTCACGGTTCTGTTCCACAGACAAATTGATTTCATCAATATATAATACAAAAGTAAACCTGTGCAATAGATTTG